TGTATCGTTGGATTCTATTTGCCAGTATTTTATTTAGGATTTTTGCATCAATATTCATGAGAGATATTGGCCTATAGTTTTCTATTTTGGTGGTGCAAGCTTTTCTTCTGACATGTCTTTGAATGGACTTGAACTAAATCTTCCAGTTAGCTGACAAGTCTGAAACCAAGCAATTTCACCACTACCACAAATATTAAGGAGTAGAATTTTGACTCATGCCAACCCTGGTGTGGGGAGCTCTGTGTAGTCAGTAGAGTCTTAGCCCAATGGCCACACTTCTTTGGTGGTTTGAATCCACCAGCCACTCTGAGGGAGAAAGGTGGGCAGTCTCCTCCTTGGTGATTTACAGCTTCTAAAACCTTGCCTGAGGATTACCTATGAGTTCTGACTCAACAGTAGTAACTTCACTCAGTGGTCCTAATTTCTCAGTGTTCCTGCTGGAACCCAGAAGACATAGCTTATCTGTTTTAACAAGATTATTTAAACCACCAAACATCTAAAATAGAATCATATATTTTATATGTAAAAGGCACAATACAGAGCTTCTCCAGCCCTTTCTTTGCTTAAGCTTAGGTGTCATCATTAGGTTGTCTAGATAATGTGAGTTTGCAGTCCAGCTCTTGTGACATTTCCACACCTTTGATCTTACCAAGTAAGTCCCATACCAAGTTTTTTTCTTTTTAAATTGGATTTGATAATAATACTCTCTGTTGTTATTGTAGTTACTTCATAAACTGCTTAGGGAGCTCAGGTGGCCTAGTCTTTAGGGAGTTGTGCTGCTAGCTCAAAGATACTGCCTCTCTGGTCATTTGAATCCACTGGTGGCTCCACAGGAGAATAATGGGCAGTCTCCTTCTGTGTGATTTACAGCCTCAGAAAACCCACTGGAGAGTTAGCTCTGACTCAGTTCCAACTTGATGGCAGTGAGTTGAGGATTTTATAAACTGTGAAGAAGTGACTACCTTGTTTTGATTGGAGCCATAACTGGCAAATGATCTTGCTAGTAAATTGTGTTCTGTCATGCTTTTAAAAATATGTTTGCTTTTTGATATATACTTACTGTTTTATAGATATATTTTTTTTTATTTTTTTTTTAATAGGTTCTTAAATGTGAAGTGGAATTGATGGCCAGAATGGCAAAAACCATTGACAGTTTCACTCAGAATCAAACAAGACTCGTAGTTATCATTGATGGATTAGATGCCTGTGAACAGGACAAAGTACTTCAGATGCTAGACACTGTAAGTTTTAATCATTATGAAATAGAAATTTTTGCATTCACAGCAGCTGAGAGAACACATGATTTCAGGAATCTTGTTATGCAGATGACACAACCCTGCTTGCTGAAAGTGAAGCAGACTTGAAACACTTGTTATAGGAGGTTAAATGCTGCACCCTTCAATATAGATTGCATTTGCATCATCAAGAAAACAAAAATCCTCACTTCTGCCCCATTAGGCAATATCATGGTAGATGGAGAAAAGCTTGAAAGTGTGAACAACTTCATCTTACTTAGATGCACAATCAATATATTTGGTACCAACAGACAGGAGATCAGGAGACTTACTGCACTGGAAAAGTTTAGTCAGAGACTGCCTCAAATTATTGAGGAACAGTAATATCATTTTGAGGACTAAGGTGTGCATGATTCAGGCCATGATCTTTTCAGTCCTTACTATACTTCTAAGAGCTGGACAGTGACTCAGGATGACAAAAGAAGATGCCTTTGAACTGTAATGTTGGATAAAAGTAGTGATTATCCTACAGACTACCAAAAGAACAAACAAATGCATCTTGGAGAAAGTTCAGCCAGAGTGCTCCTTGGAGGCAAAAATGATAAAGTTTTGTCTCACATACTTTGGGCATATTTCTAAGAAAGGCTATTAATTGGAGAGGGACATCATGCTTGGAAAAGTGGAGGGTTGGCGAAAGAGAGGAAGACCCTCACCTAGACAGATTGATATAGTGACTGCAGTTGTTGTTGTTATGTGCCCTCGAGTCGCTTGTGACTTATAGTGACCCTGTGTACAACAGCCCTAAACTCTGCTCTGTCCTGTGCCAATCGCACTGTCTCCAGTACACCCATGCCGATTATCCCAGTCAATTACCCCAATGAATCAATCCACCTCATAAAGGGCCTTTCTCTCCTGCACTGTCCGTTCACCCTACCAAGCATGATGTCCCTCTCCAAGGACCGGTCCCTCCTTACAACATGTCCAAAGTATGTTAGATGAAGCCCCAGAATCTTTGCCTCCAAGGAGCTGCCTGGTTTAACCCTCTTCAGGATGAATCTCTTTGTTTTCCTAGCAGTCCATTGTACCCTTGATACTTTTCTCTAGCACCACAGCTCAAAGGCATCAATTCTCCTCCTGTCCTCCCTAGTCATTGTCCAACTCTGTGATGCATAACAAGTGATTGCAAAGACCATGGCCTGTATCAGACACACCTAAGTCTCCAGAGAGACACCATTACTCCTCAGCACTTTGGAGAGGTCCCTAACAGCAGACTTTCCCATGGCAATGCACCTTTTAATTTCCTGGCTACTGGTGCCAAGAGTGTTGACTGTGGAGCCAAGGAAACTGAAGCTGTTAACAATCTCAGTCTCTTCACCATCCATCCTGATGCTGCCAATTGGTCCAGTGGTGAGAATCTTTGTCTTACTGACATTAAGCCTCAATCCATATTGATGGCTGCAGTTCTTGACACTCTGCAGCAGATGATTCAGGTCCTCCTCAGTTTCAGCAAGCAGGGTTGTGTCATCCGCATAACGCAGATTGTTAATAGATCTTCCACCAATCCTGACGCCACAATTCTCCTCATAGAGCCCAGCCTCCCGGATAATCTGCTCTGCGTACAGGTTGAAAAGGTACGGAGACAGGACACATCCCTGGCATACACCCTTCCCAATTTTGAACCATGCAGTGTTCCTTTGCTCTGTTCTGACGACTGCCTCTTGGTCCAAGTATAGGTTTCTCATTAGCACAATCAAGTGTTCTGGGATTTCCATTCTCAGATTTCCATTCTTGTCAACCACAGTTTGTTATGATCCACACAGTCAAATGCCTTTGCATAATCAATGAAACACAAACAGACATTCCTGTGGTATTCCCTGCTTTCAGCCAAGATTCAGCTAGCAGCAGTAGTGGGCTCAAATATGTCAGAGATTGTGAGGATGGCACAGGATAGCACAGGATTCGATCACTATAAGTCTTGGTCAATAGCACCTAACAACAGTGGAGTTTAAACTGCTTTTATTGAATTACTACTTTTTTCCTATTTAGTAGATATTATTTTATTTTAATTGTAAAGAGCAACATTTTTTAAAAGGCTGAGACATACTAGGAAAATGTTTCATTACAACCATTTATTATTAAATAATTTTAGTTTTACGATGATTTTTTTCATGGTTTATATTTGTGGAGGAGGAAGGTCCATGGTGAAACTCCTATTCTTTACAGCTAGTTAGAATCTGAGATAAATATAAGGAACTCCCAGAGTTTGTAGAGTTTTAAATTCAGATAGGGCTCATCAGTGACTGTCTGAAAGGTATGATATAAACAACAATGTGTGATCATAGGCAGAGACCAATGTACATTCATGAATGCTTCTTTATGTTTATTCGTCCTACCTGTGATGCAGGTTGGTAAAGTCCCATTGTAGGGACAGTGTTTTCTTTGTGAGTTTTATTACTATCAGTTGGTGACAAACCCAGTTTAAGCCTTTGGTAAAATAATTTTTTATAAAAAGTTTTGTAGAATAATGTTTTTATTAAAACAAATGCCATTTAAAACATTGTCGTTTTGATTTTGAGGAACTAATTACATTTTATAGTTTAAAATTTATATTCTGTTTGAAGGAGACTGAGGAGATTTTTTTCCTTACATTTGATGGTTTAAAATTTATAACTATATTTTTCTTACCACAGGTCCGAGTTTTATTTTCAAAAGGACCATTCATTGCTATTTTTGCAAGTGATCCACATATTATTATAAAAGCAATTAACCAGAACCTTAATAGTGTGCTTCGTGATTCAAATATAAATGGACATGACTATATGCGCAACATAGTTCATTTGCCTGTTTTTCTTAATTGTCGTGGACTAAGCAATGCAAGAAAATTCCTTGTAACTTCTACAACAAATGGGGACATTCCGTGTTCAGATACTACAGGTAAAGAAAGATTCTTTAAGTAGTTTGAATTTGAAGCAGACTTGTCTATGTGGACTCTCTATCTTGAAAAATATGTGTTGGTAATTTACTACTCTTTGCCTAGCTGGTACAACAGAATTTTAATGCAAATCATATTCTTTGATCAATTCTTTCAGGGATGCAGGAAGATGCTGATAGAAGAGTTTCACAAAACAGTCTTGGGGAGATGACAAAGCTTGGTAGCAAGACAGCCCTCAATAGACGGGTGAGATTTCATTTCTTTTGAGCCAAGTAGTAGTAGTAGTAGTAGTAGTAGTAGTAGTAGTAGTGGTAGTGGTAGTGGTAGTGGTAGTGGTAGTGGTAGTAGTAGTAGTAGTAGTGTGCCATCGAGTCACCTGCGACTCCTAGCGACCCTGTGTATAACAGCCCTAAACCCTGCTCTATCCTGTGCCAATCTTACTGTCTCTGATACACCTACTCGCTTACCCCGATCACTGAATCAGTCCATCGAGGGTTTTCCTTTCCTACACATGACGTCCCTCTCCAAGAACTGGTCCTGCCTTGCAACATGTCCAAACTATGTCAGACAGAACTTCAGAATCCTGTCCTCCAAGCAGCAGCCTGGTTTCACCCTCTTTAGGACAAACCTGCTTGTTCTTCTAGCAGTCCATGATATATTCAATACTCTACTCCAGCACCACAGCTCAAAGACATCATTCTCCTTCTATCATTGACCAGCTTTCTTATGCATAGCAAGTAATTACAAAGACTATGGCCTGGGTCAGGTGCACCTTAGTCTCCAGACTGACATCGTTGCTCTTCAGTACTCTGGAGAGGTCTCTGACAGCAGACTTTCCCAGTGCAATTCATTTTTTAATTTCCCGCCTGATGGTACCAGGAGTGTTGATTGTGGAGCCAAACATACATCTGTTAACAGTCTCAATCTCTTTACCATCTATCATGATGCTCCCAATCGGCCCAGTGGTGAGAATCTTTGTTTTCTTGATGTTGAGATTCAATCCATATTGAAGGCTGCAATCCTTGACTATCTGGCAGCAAGCCTTCAGGTCCTTCTTGGTTTCAGCAAGCAGGGTTGTGTCATCCGCATAACACAGATTGTTGATGAGCCGTCCTCCAATCCTGATGCCACATTTCTCCTCACAGAGCCCAGCCTCTCAGATAATCTGTTCTGCATATAGATTGAAAAGGTATGGAGATAGGACACATCTCTGGCATGCACCCTTCCCAATTTTGAACCATGTAGTGTTTCCTTGCTCTGTTCTGACAACTCCCTCCTGGTCCAAGTATAGGTTTCACAAGGGTTCTGGGATTCCCATTCTTTTCAGAGTTAGCCACAGTTTGTTATGATCCACACAGTCGATAACTTTGCATAGTCAATGAAACATGGACATTCCCATGGTATTACCTACATTCGGCCAAGAACCATCTATCATTAGCTTTAATATCCCTAGGACCATGGCTTCTTCTAAACTCAGCCTGCACTTAAGGTAGTTCACTGTTGATGTGCCATTTCAGTCATTTTTGGATAATCTTCAGCAGAATCTTGTTTGCATGTACTATCAATATTGTTTGATAATTTTCATAGAAATCTGCAGGACAACCACTTTGCCAACTGACTAGAAGAGATCTATATTTGTTCCCATTCCAAAGAAAGGTGATCCGACAAGAGTTTGGAAATTATCAAACAAAACTTTTGTGTTACTATTATTTAATTGAAATTAAAATGATGCCACTTACATAAGCTTTTATAAATACTGCATTAAGAGTTTCAAATAAACTTTATCCTTGAATTTCCTTTCAGCTTCAGGTTATTTTTCAGGTAATACGTCAACCTAGAGCCATAATAACTGTAAGTTTTATGAGCCCCTTTACTCCCAACCTAGCCTCAATTCTAGTTGCTTGTTAGAATCACCTCAGAGCCTTATGTCTGCACCCCGTCCTCTACCACCACACAAAAACTATGCCCAAGTACCACCCCACATTTCAAAGCTCACCAGATGGTATCATCTAAGTTTTTAAACCATTCTATTAATTCCTAGTCAGGTTAAGGTGCCTGTTACCCCCTTCTTCTGAAAATAAAGTACAGTCTTATTGTGTGTGAGTCACTCTCTGTCTTCCTTTCCTGGTAGCCTCCCTCCTCCCTTAATGTTTGTGAAATGTCTGCTCGTCTTTCTGTATCTATGTAATTTTGTGCCTTCCCACCACCTTAGCTGCCTTCTTTTCAAATGCTTTGTGCGTCCCTGCACCACCGCTTCCGTGGTAGCCCCTTTGTATATAGGGGGGAGCATTATAAGATAGGAAGTTGTCCACTGGTAAGTAAGTTACAGTAAACATGCCAGTTGAGTCAGACTGGCTTTTTTCTGATTTGCTACTATTAATAACTCTCGACACAGCGACTGCAGCAGTGGACACAGGCTTAGCAGTGATTATCAGGATGGCAGAAGCCTCAGCACTCTATTGCTCTGTTGCTCATAAAGCCACTTTAAGGTGAAAACAGCTTCATGGCACGTAACAACCTGGATAGATTTATTTTTTTTGAGAAAATATGTCTTAAGTGGCATTTCAATTTTATGTATCTGTCACATATAAATATGGATGCAAAAATAATATTATGAAAGATAAAATGCTAATTGACTGTACAATATGAAGGGCATCGTTTGCTGTTTGGAATTTCTCTCCTAAGTGTCTGTCTTAAAAGATCTGATCCCTTGTTGAGATCGTAGGTGAGAACACACCTTTGTTGTGTCTTCTTCCTGTCTTTAGATGGCTCATTTACCCTACCTACTTACCCAATAAAATGCATTTAATTCTTACGAGATGATAATAGTTTAGCTGCACTTTTCCTATAATTGTCACACATCTTAAAATAGTCTGAAAATAAAATTGAGTCTCTAAAACCATGCCAGATGTTAATTTGCATCCTTATTACAGAATCCTTATAAAAAAATCATTCCCTTGAGAATTTTAAATACAATTTTTTACACATTTCTGTTTATTTACAAAGGAGCTCTGGTGGCCAAGTGTATTAGGTTTTACCTGCTAACTCAAAGGTTGATGGTTCAAATCCATCAGTGGCTCCATGGGAGAAAGATTAGTGTTCTTCTCAAACCTTTACAGCTTTAGAAACCAATGGAGAATCTCTATGGATTGAACTTGATGGTGGTATATTTACTTACACTTTAGAGCCATTACATTTCCAAATATACAGTAATTGAAATACACTTGAAGCTAAATCATAACATTTGATGCAGTAGCTACTAAAATTACTTTATAACTGCTTTTCTGTAAGTGTCCTGCCTCCTGGAATAAAGCTTATTATTTAGTATAGTCTTATTTTAATTCATATTCCTTTTTGTAGTAATAAAACTGTATTAACCTCTAAAAAGTTTGAAGTTCTTGATGGAAAAGATTGCCTTAATGGATTTTATAATATATTGTTTTCAGGATACTTATCGAAGAAGACAGATACAGCGGACAATTACTCGGCAGATGTCCTTTGACCTTACAAAACTGTTGGTTACTGAGGACTGGTTCAGTGACATAAGTCCTCAGACCATGAGAAGATTACTTAATATTGTTTCTGTGACAGGTAACTTTGTTTTTTACTGTCTTATGATAAATAATAAAGTTCAGAAACAAAGAGCTGTGTTGATATTATATTCAGTAATTGAAAATATCTTTTAAGGCAAAATTATGATGCAAAGAAACAGTGCATCCTTTCTGAAAGTTGGAGAATTCAGTTGTCCATATGTAAGCACACAGAGTTGTGGTGGGTGGCATAGTGTGTCATCAAGTCAGAACCGACTCATAGCTGACCTTTCAGTGGGTTTTCAGAGGCAGTTAATGACTTGGGAGGAGATTGCCCATCTTTCTTCCATGCTGAGTCAGGGTCCTCAGAAAGTCCCTGCAGGGCTTTTAGGACTTTTTTGTTTCCCAGCAGGACTTTAAAATGATAGATAGATAGATAGATAGATCACTCCCTAAATAGACACATAACAAATTTTAGAAATACATTAAAACCTCTGTGGTGGAGGTTACTTACATGAGCAGCCCCTGTTGTTGTTGTTGTTAGGTGTCTTTGAATCATATGACTCAGTAGCCCCCATATAACCAGAACTCACTACTTAGCAACAAAATCATGTGAGATTGTACCTTCACTTAACAACATCCAAAAACTCAACTAGCGGGGAGCTCTGGTGGCCTAGTGGCAAGGAACTGCAACTACAATCCCAGAGGCACACGGTTTGAATCCACCAGATGGCTCTGCCGGGGAAGGAGGGACAATCTCCTCCAGTCAGATCTGATTTGATGGTACACACACACAAAAATAAATTAAAAACAACAACAACAACAAAAAAAACAAAAAACAAAACTCAACTAGCTTATTTAGATGTGTTTTAAGGGAACTCGGATGGTCTAGTAGTAAAGAGCTGCACTGCCAGTCTGAAGACATATGGTTTGAATCCACCAGCTGCTTCATGGGAGAAAGAAGGAAAGTCTCTTCCTGTGTAATTTACATCCTCTGAAAACCTACTTCAGGGTCAGTCAGCTATGAATCATTTTTGACTCAGCAGTGCACCACAACAATAATGGCAGCAAGGTATGAGATCTTAGCATGTGGTCCTTTAGAGGATTGAGGCCCATTGATGTTCTACTTACAGATCAGGTGTAGTAGCATCCAGACAATGTCTGGCATATAGTAAGTTCTGTAAGATTTTTGTGTGCATTTAAGTGGTCAAAACAGATCATGGCAGATCACACCTACACAGAGAGAAATTACTTTAAAATTAAGCAGAATTATATTTAAGCCATAGAAAAGTTTACACCATAACTCTTGGGATTATAGGATATGTATGTTCAATGCTTTTGAATAGTATCGACTCATAGCTGCCCCAGCAGGTTTTCTGATGCTGTAAATTGCACTAGAGGAGACCGCTCATCGTTTCACCATGGAGCAGCTGATGGATTCAAGCTGTTTGGGTGCCTTTGGGTTGATAGGCCACCAGAGCTCCTGGATTTGGACTGTAGAAGCCATGTAAAAATTGTTGTTGTTGGCTGTTGTTAAATCAGAACTGACCCATAGCTGACCTTCCAGCAAGCTTTCAGAGTTAGTATGTCACCCAGGAGGAGATTGACCATCTTCCTGTGGAACAGATGGTGGCTTCAAACCTCATACCTTTGGGATTGTAGCACAATCCTATACCACTAGGCCCTTACATTGAGCCGTATCAATACTGGACTTGAATTTGCAGTATCAGTGAAATGCTTACGTTCAAGTTTTGAAGTCATCTTTGTGAATATGCGTAGTACTTAATATTATTATGCTCATCTTGGGAGGGAACCCTGGTGGCCAAGTGGTAGGAAGCTTCACTGTAGTCACAAGGGCAAGTGATTTGAATATATCAACTGCTCTTGGGGAGAGGGATGGGCAGTCTCCTCCTGTGTGATTTCCTGCCTTTGAAAACCTGCTGAAGGGTCAACCATGGGTCTGTTCTGACTTGATAATCCATAACAACACTGAAAGCAACCCTCATCTTGTTAATTTGAAAATGTTTTTATATTCCTTAAAGGACGCTTACTGAGAGCCAATCAGATTAGCTTCAACTGGGATAGGCTTGCTAGCTGGATCAACCTTACAGAACAGTGGCCTTACCGAACTTCATGGCTCATACTGTATTTGGAAGAGACTGAAGGTGTTCCGGATCTAATGACATTAAAAACCATTTATGAAAGGTACTTTATCTGGCTTATTTAGATTTAGATTTAGATTGGGTTAACTTTTAAACATAAAGTGAGTAAATATGAGTTAAACATGTGCTTCTAGGTTAAATGGGTAGTTGGTGTTATTTTTTGTGATGAGTTTGGTGTAATATCTGAAGTACTTTCTGAATTTATACTTCTCGTTTTAGAATGAATTCTGTTTTTCTTAGAAGAAATGCCGCTAAGACTCAAATGTGTTTTATAAAAGTTACTTGTTTCTTGTCACATTCACTGCTAAGTTATAAAACTTAGTGTTTGTTTACTGGAACACTTTCAGTACCCTCAAGACTTTTTATTGCCATTCCAAAGTATTTCTTAGGGGGGGGAAATTTTGCAAAAGAACTTCCCAATTTTTGTAGAACTGAGTATAACTGAAACTGTTGCTGTTGTTATTTACGTGCTGTTGCGTCACCTGTGACTTATAGTGACAATAGCTATATAGCACAACAGCTCTGAAGCCTGCCCTGTCCTGAACCAGTCTAACTGATTCCAACACACCTAACCCCCATTGCTCCAGTTACTCTATCAGTCCATCTCATCTGGGGTCTTCCTCTCCTGCTCTGTCTGTCCACCCATCCAAGTATGATGTCCTTCTCCAAGGACCAGTCCCCTCTGGCCACATTCCTAAAATATCTGAGACGGAACTTAAAAATCTTAGCCTCCAAAGAGAAACTTGGTTTCACCCTCTTCAGGACAGACCTATTTGTTTTCTTGGTGGTCTGTGATTTGTTCAATACTCTTCTCAAGCACCACACCTCAAAGACATCAATTCTTCTTCTGTCATTCTTAGTCATTTACTTGCTACGCATCAGCTCTCTGATGCGTAGCAAGTAATTGTGAAGACCATGGTCTGTATCAGATGCACCTTAGTCATAACTGAAACTACTACTTCAAAAAATACAAAGAAAACATTAAATCTAACAAACCTTTTAGTGTAAATAAATTGATATAGTCAAACTTTTAAAATAATTTTTCTTCTCTCAGAGTGTTTTGTTTTGCTTTTTTTCCCCAGTCCCCCTTTTTCATGTGCATATTTAAGGTTTTCTTGAGAAACAAATGTTTTTTATTTGTTTATTGAATTCATTTTATTTTGGTTTGAAGGGAGGAAGGGAAGGGTGGGTAAAGGATTGGGTAAAGATCCAGTGTAAAAGATCTGGTGGTTTTTTAATTGGAAGTAGAAAAAAATAATTTAAATGATTTAGTCTAAGTTTGCAGTAATTCCCTTATTCTCTAATGCAAACAAAGGATTATTGCTATATTAATTTGTAGATTGTTACTCTTCTAGTTTTTGCTTTGTTTAATTTGTGCTAAATTGAATTAATAATTTATCAGCGATATCAAGTAAGTATTCCAGCAGATGGCAGTGGCATGTACTTATGTTAGATTTGTAGAAAAGTGCTCTTTAATTGCATTGGGTTGTTGATATTTTAGAAATCATCATCCTATTATGAGGTATGTAATAGATTTCCTCCTTGACTGTGTAGTCAGTACTGTTTTATTTCATAAATAAATTTTTGTATCATAACATATTCAAAAACCAAACCCATTGCTGTCAAGTTGGTTCAGAAACATAGCAACCCTCCATTGCTTTCAGGGATGTGAATCTTTAGATGAGGAGACCACTCATCTTTCTCCCTCAGAGCAGCTGGTGGATTTGAACCTCTGATCTTTAGGCTAGCAACACAACAAATAAGGTAGCAAGCCACCATAAGTGCTGTTTAATTATGAATGCTCATTTGATAGAATAGTCAGTATAGAGCTCCAACTGAATTTTTTAAGCATTTAGCTGCTTAATAATTCATGTCAGTATGAGGGGATATATTTTTGATGGCATGCTTATACATTAAAACTCACTCTTTTTTATCCTTGAGAAATACATTCTTTTTTTTTTATTTGTGAAAACACTGGAGGAAAGGATAAGCTTTTAATAACTTGAGTGTCTGGAGGTAGAAAACTCAGATAAAGAATGACAACCAGTGTCTGAAGTAACTTGAAGCTTCTTCAGATTCTTAGAATTTCTCCAAATTTCTGTTCCTTCTTGTTGTTGTGTACTGTCAAGTTGGAATCATCCCATAGCTGGCCCTCCAGTGGGTTTTCAGAGGCAGTAAAATTGCACAAGAATAGACTGCCCATCTTTCTACTGTAGTGCAGTTGGTGGATTCAAACCATGCACCTTTAGATTGGCAGCACAGCTCTTTACCACTAGAGTAGTACATTTGGTTTCAAGAAATTTAAAAACTTGGAACAAGAGAGCTCTCTCCTGACCAATAACTAGCTGTCATCAAGTTGATTCCAGCTTCTGGAATTTTATTACACGATAGAATGCTATTGTGTTAGAGAGTAAAAGAAAACCAGAAACTCATGGAGAACCCTAAGTGTGTCAGAGCGAATTGTGTTTGATAGGCTTTTTAAATGTATATTTTGATTATTAAATTCTTGTTGGAGATCTGTCTTAAAAGATATTTTCCCAGTCAGTAACTTGTTTTCCCTTTTCTGGTAGTATTTTGATAAGCAGAGTTTGACATTTTCATAAGATCTGTTTATTTTCTCTTTTGCTGTTTGGAGTTTTGTTATCATTCCAGGTAGGTTATTGTTAAAAACAAAATCTACAGACTTTTTTTAATGACTAATTTCCTTTGACAGCTCAGCAGGACTTTATATTCAGGTACCTCTGGCCTCTAAAACTTTTGATGAGCAGCTAGATATCTTAACTCTTTGCACCATCCAGGGATACTACATGTGCACATGTTGTTGTTATGTGCCATGAAATCACTCATGACTCATAGCAACCCTATGTACAACAGTTCTGAACCCTGCTCTATCTTGAGCCAGTTTTGTCTGATACACCTACTCCATAACCCCAGTTACTAAGCCAATCCATCTTATCCAGGGTCTTCCTCTGTTGCACTGTCCCTCCACCCTTCCAAGCATGATGTCCCTCTCCAAGCACTGGTCCCTCCTTGCAACATGCCCAGAGTACATCAGCTGAAGCCTCAGAATTCTTGCCTCCAACAAGCAGCCTGGCCATACCCTCTCCAGGATAAACCTATTTGCTCTCCTAGCAGCCCATGGTATATTAATTACTCTTCTCTGCTACCACAAGTCAAATGCAAATTTTCCTTCTGTCATCCTTAGTCGTTGTCCAGCTTTCTGATGCGTAGCAAATGATTGTGAAGACTGTGGGCTGAATTAGGTGTACCTTAGTCTCCAGACTAACATCATTGCTCTTAAATACTCTGGAGACGTCTCTGACAACAGGTTTTCCTAATACAGTTAGTCTTTGTATTTCCTGGCTACTGGCACCAAGAGTGTTGATGGTGGAGCCAAACAAACTGAAGCTGTTAACAGTCTCAGTCTCTTTACCATCTGTCATAATGTTGCCATTCAGCCAACTGGTAATCTTTGTTTCTTGATGTTGAACTTCAGTCCATGTACACAGAGCTCTATGGAAAAACCAAAATAGCCTGACTCAGAGTGACTCTATAGAATGTAGTAGAACTGCCTAACAGGGATTCTAGGGCTGTAAATCTTTATAGAAGCAGACAGCCACATCTTTCTTCCAGTGAATGGTGAATTTGAATTACCGACTTCCTGGTTAGTGGCTGAGTTCTTTAACCAACAGAGTTTTTTTTGTTTTGCTGGGCTTTTTAATTAAAATTTTTATTTTATACTAGTTACTTAAAAAGTTCATTGTTTTTCACAACAGATCATTCCTGTTTTCTTTATCCACCCCGCCCTCCACCCATCAAGTTTGAACCTTGTGATTACCCCCCACCCATTCTCACCCCTCTGCTTCCACCCTTCCCTACCCCTCTTGGAGCCTCATACTCGGTCCACAATAATGGCCTTATACAGTATTTGTCCTTACAGGACTAAGTTCACTTAGCATGATGCTCTCCAGTCCCTCTCAAGTTAGGTAGTGATTTTTAAAATCATTGCTTCTGCATGCTGTGTAGCATGTACAGTAATTTCTCAATCCATTCAATTGTGATTGGACATTTGGGCTGTTTCCATGTTCTTGCAATGGTGAATAATGCTGCTATGAACACTGGTGTACAAATCTCCACTTGTGCCTCAGTTCTCATTTTCTCAGGGTTTATTCCAAGCAATAGAATCACTGGGTCATATGGAATTTCCGTGTTTAGCTTTCTGAGGAAATGTTAACCTACCTTCCACAGTGGTTGTACCATTTTACAATCCCACCAACAGTGCACAGGAGTTTCTATTTCTCCACATCCTTTCCAACATTTATTACTTGCTGTCCTGTTAAATTTTGCTGCTGCTACTTGGGCAAGATGGTATCTCATTGTGTTTTTTATTTGTATCTCTCTTATTGCCAGTGCTTTTGAGACTTTCTACGTGTGTCTGTTGGCTATCTGAGTATCTTCCTCTGTGTAGTCTTTCCATTTCTTTTGCTCATTTTGTAATTGTGTGATCAGTCTTTTTCATGTGGAGGCCCTGTAGCATTCTGTGAACTTTTGATATTAGACTCTTGTCTGAAATGGTATTGCTAAATGTTTTTTCCCAGTCAGTAGGTTTTCTTTTCACTCTCTAACCAACAGAGTTTTGATTTTGCTACTACTTTTTCTTTCTTCTCCTATCTTCGCTTGCCATTATTCACCTCCTATATTTTTTTTCTTCCTTTCTTAATTCTAATATTCAAATCAGCTAAAACCTTTAAAAGTTAGGAGTTGAGGAAGATCTAGTATAAAAATGAAATTTTAAGTTATCACTGGGGAACGCTTGCAATTAAAAACCAACTGTTTTAGATGTTAGGGTTTGTTGGTTTTTTGTTGTTTTTTTTTTCTCCTGGAATGATGGCAGGTTGGCAAAAATTTTTTTTAAGTATGTAAAGCAATTTTAATTTCATGGTAAATATTATAATTTGAAACCTTTTCTCAAAAATAACCAAAATATCTAATGGCATTTCTTGATTCCCACCCTCTCCCCCACATCCGCCTTTATTTTCTGTA